AATTTCGCACACTTGTGTAGATAACAACACCAAATATCTAGCCTCAAGATGGTAAATTCCGTATACTATGCCTATATACCTATAACTGCCTCCGTGGCCTAACGGTTACCATGCCGGACTGCCACGCAGAGGTCCCAGGTTCGATTCCCGGGCCGGGAGAAATAGTTGTATGGCCCACAATTAATTCTCTCGTGAGTTTGGATGTAATTTGTGGTTGTCTATGTGTGTGTCCATGGCACCCGCGACACAGGGTTTCCCTAGTGCGGGGCTATGTTGAGTGTGTGCGTTATTTACTATGAGTACCACAACAATGAAGTTAACTCCAAGGCACTTCTCAGAACGACCAGGCCAGGATATAGATTTGAGAAGTGGTGCAATAAATCGCCAAACACAGAGAGCAGTGGCGCGTTTTGGGGGAGATCTTTGCCTAGAAAGCTTAATAGAAAAATCAAGTTCGACATGAGAGGCCATAGTCGGACGGTAGAACTAAATGACGGTGTACTGGGAATGATATTCTCTGCAAGCCCAACAGGCTCACAACACCGATCTACTGACGGCTAAAAATGCCTTAGCATTTTACACATCTTATTTATACCTCTAATATTTACACGACTTATATAAAAAATGTCTATAACATCTTAATTATTTCGCCAGTATAACGTGCCACTGAATTGTATAGAATGAATTTGTTTACCGGGAATCTAAAAGTCGCTATGGATACAGCTGAAATATGGTGGCCCATTTTTTACACCTGTAAGCTCCAAGCTCAAACTGTAATAACCATTTAGATATATCTTATGCATTTATCCACGACATGTAATCTCTGAAATTTATAGCTACTCCCCGAAAGGAAATTAACTTCATAGTTACCACGTTCGGTATATTTCATAGCTGTCGTAGCAAAGCTTCCCATATTGGGCAAATTCGATAAAGCCTGGTGAATGTAAACTTTACATATCTTTACTTGTCTAAGTTTTGTTACGTATGTTTATTAAGCTATCATGAATGGTCAAATATCAGTGGCCCATAGGTTGTAGAAGTATAAGCTTGGCGTCCTTTCAAAGGCGATGCGTTACTAAACACCAGGGCAGTTGTTTCTGCTGTACCAAGCACAAGTCCGGTCGTCCATGCTACCATGGTTCTGTTAAATACCAACTGATATCTACTGATTCGAGAGATAGGGTTTTCCGGGTAGACTACGAGCTCGACGACAAGACTAGGGTACAGCGGGCGTCCGGACCAAACCCTCCGCCATTGATACGCCTTTGCTCTTGCTGGGGTTTGTGGTTAGCTGAAGAGACGGACATGTAGGTCTGCCCCGGTTTTGCGTGTTTCCGGGGCGTCTGTATCGTGAGCAGCTAGCGCGTCTTATTAGCGGTCTAGTTGACGGCCTGAAGCGAGGAGACTTGCCCTTTAAGTTGGAAGCTATGTCCGGACATTGTCGCAGGACACTGCGACTGGCATATCCGGCACTAGTCTGGAGAACTAGTAGAGGATAAGCTAGATATCCTCCGGTCCCTCCAGCCGCTTAGGTTATTGGGAACTGGAGAGGCATCGTTTTTTGGCGTCGTCGGCATCTGGAAAGTAGGGAGGGTACGTGCTGTACGTGCAATCGGCGCGGCTCACCTAAGGCCTTGCAGAGAACCGGACGAAGTACATGCAAACGTGGTAATCCGGGGTTAGAACCTGACTTAGATGGTCCTTGTGCGGGTTCGCACAGGTCATAGTGCCCTTCCCGCATAACCAAGAGGTTGATAGGGAGGGGCACTATAAACAAAACTTGAAAAGGGTTGTAACCCTAACTAGCCATGAACAGGTTCACGGCAATGAAACTGGAAACTTCCGGTCCACAAAATTGATTAAAAAAGTAAAATTTAAAGAAAGGGCCCTAAATGGGCCGAGTAACTGAATTACAGATTTAGGTACACGAAGGCTGTAGACTTATAAATTGTTACACATGATTTAGCTTATGAAATGATTACAAACGTAGTAATGAACCAGAATTAGCGATTATTCGCGATGGAATTTGGAACAGCTTTGACTGTTGTGGCGGTCGAGCTGGGAGTGGCAGTGGTACGAAAACAAAATGAGAAAGTGAAGGAACATGGAACAATTCAAATTTAAAATTTAAATACGTGTAAAATAAGAAATGATAGGAAACAAGCGGAGAGAGGCGATACACCGTCACAAACTTATGTAGAAAGATATGAGAATGGACACTCGAGATTCAGTTTAAAAGCATGCCAAGAGGTGTTTAAGTGACTAGAATTTAGTGGAGACGAAGCTGCTGAGACTTAAACACCGCCGTAAAGATGCTTATTAATACTTGCAATAACTATTATATTTAAAAAATAACTTACCGATACGATTTTGGTATAATTAATAAATAAAAACAAAATGGCAACTCTAAAAGATATTGGTGGCGTTGTTCGAGAAAAAAAAAATGCGAGATGGAAGTGAATTAACGGGCGAACGTGATTTTCCTGAAAAGATGTATGTATGTTTTTACAAGTTTTAAGGGATTACATGTCGGATTACAATTAATATTTGTGTTATAGATCTATTGTTTCAAGTTCGTAGATATCGTTGGTTTGATTTAAAATTATATGCTTATGCTTATAATGGCTTCTGCTACCAAACGTTGAAACGTGAAACCTATTTCTTTATATTGCAATATTGGCGCTTGATGTTGATATGTCGGGAAATGTGGATTCTTTCCATCCTTCCCACTTCATCCGTAACATACCTAATGTACAATCGAGAACTTGTTAAACAAATATCTCTGAGATGTATTAGAGTTCGGAACAAACTTTGTGAAAGTCAGATATCGTATGTGAATCCTATACATCTGGTGTTGGTGCAAATCAGCGACAAACTGTTTGGATTAAAACTTTCTTCGGCGACGCAAATTATGTCCATTTTGTATTCTCAAGATAATTACAAGTTTTCTTAGTTTAGGAGTCAGGGAATAATTTAATTGTACTAAAAATTGTGGCTATCCTTTGTACAGTTACGAGCACATCAAACTGGACTTTGCATCTTGGACTTTAGACCGTTCTTAAATAAACGGTATTAAGTTGAGTTTCAATCGTATGGCTCTTGCTTTTGAATGGTACGGAAGTGAATTTTTGTAACTGGTAATAAAAGGGTTTTATTATTTTTTCCGGGGTCATTCGTATACACATACACTTCACACCTTTTTACCATCGAGGTATGCAGAAACATATCTTTTGTCTCATCACTACGTATCTATTTTCGGTGTTTATTTGTTTATATTGATATTATCAAGTGAATGAGTTTGTGTATCTGGGTAATGTGTTTACAAGAGATAGAAAGTTTGACGAGGATATTGAAAGAAGGGTACGAAAGGGAAACGCAGTAAATGAAGCCATAAATGGTCTAATGGAGAGCAACATCTTATCCCAAAAAGCATACATGTCCATACACAATGCTTTGCTGGTTCCCACACTGACGTTTGGTAGTGATAGTTGAGTACGGTAGAAGAAGCATGAATGTAGAATTAATGCAGTGGAGATGAGATCTTTGAGGAAAATTTGTGAAGGAAAAGTTGAGTGAAAGACGTGGTTTGAAAGAGGATGTAGTGAATAGAATAGAGAAAGGAATGTTAAGGTGATTTGGGCATGTTTGGGAGTTTTAAGAGGACGTTTTGAGAGGATTGATGTCCTCAAATAGGCTGGGATCCGAAGTGACAAGAATAAAAGAAGTTGTATGAAAAGGGTAGTTGATGTATATGAGGCTCGAGAGTTGTGTCACGATAGAGCAAAGTGGCGTTCCGTAGTCTCTGCCTACCCTCCTGTGGGACTAGGGCGTGAGTTATATATATATATAATTAATTACGTTACATTTGTGCACATTAATGCGGACATCTGGGGGCCTACCACAACCTCTTAAAACAATATTATTTTACGTTGACTTCTCGTACCAAAACGCGCTTAAACTAAGTTTATTGTTAAGTTAAAACTATAATGTTTTATTGGCAGCTTTGTGACTATTCATTCACTCAGTTCGTACCATGACGCGACTTTGACATTAAAGTAATATTGTTCTTATGTCAAATTTATCAATCTTAAAATAGTTACACGGATGCAATGGAAACAATATTATTTTCAGTTTTATTATCTTAATATTGATTTGT